CGGAAGGCCTGAGCTCTGCCACTGAAGAAAGACGTGGTACCTGCTTCTGTGGAGGCCTACAGGCTCGGATACCCCAGGAAACAGTTCTCCTCTGTCTTTAGGAAGGTTGGGACCGCGGGGGGTTGGAATCCGCTCACAGGCAGCACCATGTTGTTTGGTTGGCTCATGCCTGGCACGCAGTGGGTGCCTCTGGATGGGTTGGGGAAAGTGAGGAGCTTCGTCTAGGTCAGATCTCACTCAGGGAGCCCTTCCCTTCCTACTAAATTGCCCCTGCATTTGCCCAACGTGAAAACCAGTGTCCCGGGTGGTCAGGAGCAGCCTAGTCCAGCAGACAGACATCGCTCTGTGAGTCCAGTGACTATTTACAAGAATTAAGTCCTCACCATGTGGCAGTTCCATCGTCTGTCAGTTTATTCCTATTCTGGTGGCTCGCATGTTACGGGAATGCGGGAAGCTCCATCTGTCACTGGCATTTCCAACACCACCAAGACCACCAGTGGTGGACAGGGTTCAGTGGTGGTTCCACATGAAGACGGACTAGGAAAGTGCCCAGGGGAGCGACTTCTCCAAACGAGCCACCAAAAAGCCTATGCATCCCAAAAGAACGTGGTCCAAGAGAGCACAGGTGTGGGAGTCCAGGTGGACCAGAGGAACAAAGTCGTAGACTCTCATAAATGTGTAAGAGGGAACTTTATGGCAAAGAGTCATTGTATATTAAGAAAACATTCCAGCCCAGTCCAATTCAAGTTCCGAAGTCTGATATTAGCCCATACGTCCGATGCCAGTCTATCCATTCCTCTTCAGACTCACCCAACACATGCAGTGATGTCAAATGCAGGAAGATCACAGGCCAGAGGGTGCAAAGCCTTATGGATCCAGTGGCAGTGGAAGCATCTCAGTGCTGGCCTGGGTCTCCATGTGGCTCCTCCAGCTTCCAGGGCTCTGGCTCCATCGGCGTGCCTCCCTGTGGCTTGTCAACAGGCATGTCTCCCAGGGAGAGAGTGTATCTGGCCTCCAGTGAGCTATTTATCTCTGTAGCACCTCCAAATGAGGTTCATCAAGCTGGGACCTGATTGACAGGCTAAACTCCACCCCTTCCTCAAGTTGACAGTAGATGATGTAACTGCCACAACGCGATTGGAGGAGCTACACACACACACACACACACACACACACACACACACACAGGCTGGAACATACTGGGCTGTGAAGCTGGCTTAGGGGCGGGCCACGTTTCACTTCATCACAAGTCAGAGAACAACAAAGGCTGGGGGACAGAGATGGGTCAGGGGGATGATCCTGACCTTGAAGGGCCGAGGTGTTGCAGAAGGCAAAGAGCCACCTACTCACAAGCCTTTCTCCGGACCCTCATCCCGAACCTTGGGGCAGGTGAGTCAACGTAACAGTGGTGTGTTGAGGGTCTGCCTTCCAGGAGACACCGTGGTAAGTACTAGCGCTGGGACATTCTCCGAGACCAGAGTGAAGCCGGTACACACACCCAGCAATAACTAACACGAGGGGCCTTCAAAAAGTTCACGGGAAACGGGAATTCAAATAGAAAAACTAAGACATACAGCCTTTATTTCTCAACACGGACTCCATCCAAGTCAAGACTCTCTTCTAAGTGGTGAGATTACCCATTTAGTCCCTTCCTAAAGAACCGAGGGGACTGGGAGTTCAGCCATGTCAATGTGGCCTTTTTACATTATTGATTGAAGAAAACTGGGTGCCCTCCTTTAGGGTTAGGAAGCAGGAGTCAGAAGGAGCCGGATTAGGACGGTGAGCAGGATGCATGCTTAATTATTTCCGACAGACATTCTGGCAGAATTGTCCTCACTGGACGAGAGGACTGTGTGGGAGCACTTTTAATGGTGGTAGAGAAGGACTGTGTAGAGAAGTTTTCCTGGGCGCTTTCCCAGCTAAAGCGGAGACTTTCTCAGGACACTCTCCTAACGAGCAGGTGTCATCATTGTTTGGCCTTCCAAAAAGTTGACAAGTAAAATGCCTTGAGTGTGCCCCCAAAAAGTGTTGTCGTGACCTTTGCTCTTGAGAGTTCTGCTTTTGCCTTGATGGGGTCACTTCCACCTCTTGGTAGACACTGACTTGAATGGGCTTTGTCTTCAGGATTATAACTCCAGTTCCAGTCCTTCCAAGAAATGCTTCAGCATCTGGATCCTACTTGTTGAAAATTTCCATCGAAAGCTCTGCTCTTGTCTTCGGCTGATGTGGGTCCTACTTTAATTTTTCAGTCGGAATTGTGGGAACTGAACCAATCGAGGTGTCTATAGAATGCTGGCAATTGTTTCTGCTGCTGCCCATCAATCCTCTTCAATTAAGGCAAGAACAAGATGAATTTAATTTTTTCCCTTTCAAATCAATGTGGGTGGGCTGCCACTGTGGGCTTCTTCTTCAATACCATCTCATCCCGTTTAAAAAAAAAAGTTATCTATGTGTAAACTTCTGGTTTCTCTGGAACCCGGTCCCATAAACTTTTCATAAATAGTTTCTCCATTCATCTACTCAAGCTTCCCCATAAACTTGATGTTTGTTCTTGCTTCAGTTTTACCAGAATTCACAGAGGCTCTTCTCAGAGTTCTGTCTCGCCCTTCTTAGCATCTTATTCTTCCTAGTTCAAACATGTCGTAACCGGTGAGTATGCACTTATTTGGGTGCAAGAGTATTTTGAAATCCATACATAGTTGGGTAGTTTTTATCTCCCATAATACCCACAGTCCATAAACTTTTTGCATGCTTGACGCCTGCCCTTGGCTCCCTTTGATAGCACCTCTGAGCCCTCCTCTTCTTGGATGCTTCCCAACCTCCTGACACATCGGCCCTGGGGACTCTAAGCCAGGTTCCCACGGAGCCCAATTCTGAACTCCAAATTGACAGCGTGAGCTTGAGCCATTGCAGGCAGAGCAAGTGATGGGTGGAGATCTTGCCTGGCTGTTGGGACCAAGTGCCCGGGACATTTGACCAAGACGGAGGGCAAGGCTATACTAAAGGACACAGGGTGGGCTGAAGGGAAGACAGTCCACCAGCTTCTGAGGAGCCCAGGGGGAGGGGGAGAGCCTGAAGGGTGTCTTTGGGGTCTTTTCAGAGGTGTGGAAAGCAGCAGTCAGTGTTCTGAAGACTACGGTGTCTGTTTGCCCAACACCCTGGGTTCCCAAGAAGCAGGGCAATGCCAGCTTCAACTCGGGCCTGGGCTCCACATGAGAAGAAAGCCTGTAGCTTTTGATGTGGGGGACTTGCTGGTCTGTGACTATTTCCCCAGTGGTGTGTTGGAGGGGGGGACTGGATTAGAGAAACACCCTAGGGCCCTACATATGGCTTGGGAACCAGATGTGCCTGACGGGAGGGGGGGTGCTCTTGCCTGGGACAGCAGGAAAGCCATTGAAGGTGTTGATCCCTTTGGCATGTGGTGTCAAGTGTGGGAGCCCTGGGGACTCTGCGTTCCCACACTCAGGGTCCTGGGAGAGACCAGATTCTGCACATGTTTTGGGATGACTCTATACAGGTACACAGCTGTCCACGGCCTCTGCAGAGGGGTGCAGGGCCCCAGGAGGGAGGCCCATGGCTGCTGTGGGGAGGGGGCCATGGCAGCAGGCCCCTCTCGTAGCTCTGGCCATGTCCTCAGAGCCAGAGCAGCTGAAATAACACTTCCAGTTGGTCAGGAAGGAGAAGCAAGGTGTTAGGTTGCGTAAGGGTGGGGAGGCCGGAGCTGTCAGGATGAAGGCTCCCTGGGTCCTTCCCAAGGGGCCTCTTCTCCCCAGCCAAGTCCTGGGGGGTGGCGTAGGGGGTTTTTATTCTTGGAACTGGAGCGTGCTGGAAAGGATGCACTGGAAGGAACCCACCAGGGCTACCATCAAGCTCCCACCACTCTTCCAGCGCCTCTTGGTGTGGGGAGTGGGGATGCCACCTGGCGTTGGGTGACAGAGGCACAGGGGCACAGTGGGGACAGCACAGGAGTTGCCTCCCCACAGTACTGGGAACCCCAGCCCAACCCGATGGTGCTGAGCCAACTCCAACTCCTAGTGAGCGCGCCCCTCCACCCCCGCCCCCCGCCGACCACCACCACCACTCATTACTATTCCCATGGCTGTAACCTTTAAGGATATTGTGGTAGTCACATAATCTGATGTCAATTTGAGACTTAAGCATGAAGGGTTGGAGTTTAGCCTGTCAATCAGGTCACAGCTTGATGACCTCATTTGGAGGCGCTAAGGAGATCAATAGCTCACTGGAGGTGGGACCCATGCTCACTCCCTGCCAGACATGCTTGTTGACAAGACACATGGAGCTACACCAGAGCCCTGGAGCTGAAGGAGCCACATGGAGACCCCTGCCAACACTGAGATGCCTCTACTATCCCTGGACCCACAAGACTTTCCACCCACTGGTCTGTGATCTTCCTGCATTCGGCGTCATCGCATGTATTGCGTGAATCTGAAGAGGAATTTACAGACTGGTATTGGACATATGGGCCAATATCGGACTTAGGGACTCGATCTGGACTAGGCGGGGATGTGTTCTCAATATTCAATCACTCTTTCTTATACACACACGAATATAAAGCTCTTTCTTATACACACACGAATATAAAGCTCTTTCTTATACACACATGAATATAAAGCTCTTTCTTATACACACATGAATGCCTATGTCTACTCGGACTACCGCAGACGTAAATTGCCACATCTCTCCCCAGGAGCAGCTGGGGGGTTCCAACTGCTGACCTCTGGGTTAGCAGCTGAGCACTTCACCAGTGGGCCACCAGCAGGCCTGAGTAGAGATTTACTTCCTCACTCTCTCCATCTCCTCCTTGGTCATCAGCTACAAATGCTCCTTCCAAAGGCCTGTGTGGCCACCAGGAGCTCGGCCCTCAGATGGGGGGGGTGGGTTGTTCCCTGAGGAGCCTGGGGCTCTAGCCCTTCCAAGGCCTGGGGGTTCCTCCGTGTTGGGAAGCAGAGATGCCCAGCCCCAGCCCCAAGAAGACCCACCTGGATGTCCTTGATCATGACGCTGTAGGCAAGGCCGTGAGAGTCCAGGTACTCCTTAACGTCATTCAGGGCAGAGAAAGGCACTCTCATGTCCACAGGGAGGCTGGGCCTGGCGGGCCCTCGCCAGAAGTCCACCTTGGTCAGAAAAAAGAAAATGGGAGTGTTTACACATGTCCCGGAGGGCCCCCGAGAGCCAGCCTGTGCCCTTCTCTTATCCAGTTAGGGGGACTCTGAGGCAGAGCAGACAGATTGGGGCTAAAACCCCATCTTGAAATCATTGGGTATTTTCCCTCCTTTCACACACCACGGTCTCCTCCCACTGCAATGTCCCGAGGACCCAGAAGCCCCAAGGAGTTCCTGAAGGTGAATCCATATAGCCCCTAAGACATTAAAATGGACCTGATCCCTGGTTGGAGGGGTGTGGGGGTGTGACGAAGGATCTGGGTGCCCATGCATCTGAGTGTGAACTGGAGGAAGGTATCATAAGGGGCGATGAGTCCTTGGTGACAGGGACACTCGGTGGTGGCGTTCAGCCCTGTCTGGTCATGTGAACAGCCCTCAAACAAAACCCTTCTGTTACAAGGGTGGGAACTTGCAGAGGACAGGTGTGGACACAAGTCTCCAGGCTGAGAGGGACAGACCCAAACACAGCACCGCTTCCTCACCCAAGCCATCCCAACTGGGAAAAGGGCATTCAGTCTGCCCTGGGCCAGGGCTTCCTGCCCCAGACACAGGCACCTCCTGAGTGGCCAGCCCTGGCCCCCCACCCCACCCCCCGGACAGAATGGAGAGGCTTAAGCCTCCCAGATGAGCAGCCTTCTTCAGAGCCACCGCTCCCACCTTGTCTCCAGGGGAAATCTGTGGTGCTCCACGTGGAGCTGCCATCACTGACAGATGCAGGGAGAGCGAAGGCTATGGGGCCGCGGCCCCAGGCCTCGGGAGTCCTCACCTTCTGCGGCTTCAAGTGCTCCAGGCTCCTGAGGAGGGAAAGCTGCCCCTCATCTCGGGCCAGGACTCGAAGGACTTGATCTCTGGAGAGAGACGGGGAGAGCAGGGAGCCCGGGCAGGCTGTGTGGCTTGGGGAAGACAGAGCGGAGAAGAGACTACGCTGAAAAGGCAGGAGCAGCCCCAAGCAGGAAGGACTGGAGTAGGGGAAGGGGGTGGGGGGAGGTAGGGAGGCACACAAGTGCTTCTGTCTGAAGCCAGACCACGGAGAGGTGGAAGTGAAACCTGCCAAGGGTCCTGACAAGCCCAGATCCCAGACAGGGAGAGCAGGGCGGGAGGCGGACTACCCAGAGGAGGCATGTTGGGGAGCAAGGAAGCAACTCTGGGGGTGTCTGGGAGTCAGTGGTGACTCTTTGTAACAAGGACCCTGTTGTTCAAACCCACAGCCCCTCTGCCTTCTCCCAAGAGCTTTGGGGGGTTGGTGACAGATGAGGTGCCCTCACTCCACCTGGCAAATGAAGCTGAGCTCCTTGGTGCCCCACAGGCAGGCAGACATTCAACCCTGAGGCTCTCTGGTTCTGAGACCTGGGTGGTGGGTGCCCGTCTTCTCCACCACAGAGAATCTCAGGGTCTTTGGATGCCAGAGAAACCCCTCCCTTAGAGCGCCTCCTGGGGAAGCTTAGCACAGATGCTTCAGTCCAGGGTGGTGCAAATGATTCATACAGCTGGCTGCTATCCAGAAAATTGTGGGGAGGGGGGAGTTCAAGTCCACCCTGAGATGTCTCAGAAGACAGGCCTAGAGACCACCTTCTAAAAATTCTACTTCCCCCAACGCTGCCATTGCGAACGCTGGAGCACACCTGGGCCCTGCCCGGCCTGGGGTCGCCACAGCAGGGGCTGGGTTTAGCTACTACAAGGTTTTGCTCCACCTGAGGGGCCATGTCTCGGTAGAAGAAAGCATTTCCAACTTCTTTAAGAAGCAGAGAAACAGTGCGGGTGGACTTAGACGGGGTGGGGCAGAGGGGAGTCCTAGAGCCCAGGACACTTCTGAGCAGAAGCCCAGGAAGATGCTGCACCTCAGAGAGGGAGGTTGTGGAGTCCAGGGGACGCAGGATGGGCCTCGAACTCCTGGCTCCCATTGCCTGGACCCAGAGGCCATGGGGGCCGCAGTCAGCTCAACCTCCAAGCCCACTAGTTCCCCTTCCACCCGCCCGCCACTCACCCTGTGAAATTCATTTGGCCTAACGCTGCCGCCAGGACACAGCTGTAGAGCAGGAGCACCCGCCTGTCCACGGGAGGTCGCCGGGGGCCCATCCCTCCTCTGGGGCCACCCCGTCTGCTTCCTGCTGCGGGGTGTCACGAGGCCTCCGTGGATGCAGGCATGGCCCAGGCCTCCGGATGGCACAGCACCTAAAGGCCGGCAGGCCGGCCTGAGAGGGGGTGTTAGAGGCCTGCCCACAGGAATGGGCCCTGGGAGAGCTAGGCCCACTCTTCCGCACCCCAGGGCCAATCTCCTGGGCAGGGGAGAGGGAGGGGGAGAAGAAGAAGAAGCTGGGTACCTCGTGTGAGCCTCCAGAAAAGTCTAGGGGAGCTAGGGAGCTGGGGAAACAGTCCTGGCCCCTCTGACACCCCCCTGGGCCATCTCCTCTGTACACAAGTAGAGAGTGGAGACTGGGCTGAGAGGCAGAACATTGGCATGCTCACCTCCAGGCTACAAAATCTGGGGGAATTCCCCTAATCTCGCCAAGTCTCAGTGTACCTGTCAGTCAACCGGAGTGCATCAGACCTCCCCTCCCTACCTCGCAGGGGTTTGGGGAGAATTCGGTGAGACAACCTGGGCAGATTGTACAAGCCCGGAGCTTACGATCATAAACTCCAGAGCGTGAACACTTCGTCACAGCTGTCTTTTAGGGGAGCAGCGGGGAGGAGAACAAGAATGGAGAGGGGAGCAGAAGAGGAGGAGTCTCGCTGTTGTATGAGAAGGAATTCCTCACAGACCCCCTGGCCTCCAGCTTCAGGTAGCTGCCATTTTGCTGGGGCGGGCTGCGCTTTTTTGGCCACACAGGAGGGCCAGTGCTGTCATTAGGACAGTTCTTCAAGGGCTTCGGCGGAGCTCGGAGCTAAGTGTGCAGCCCTCTGCGGCCCCGCACAGCCTCTTTATGATCTGGGAATAGCAAGAAGGGAGCCGAGGCCAGCACACAGAGCAGTCATATTGGGGGCTAAAGAGAAAGAAGAAGAAGATGGCCAAGAAATCGGACACAAGGCGCCCAGGAGGAGAGGGGCCAGGAGCAGAGTCCAAGGAGAAGAGGGGCCAGGAGCAAAGTCCAAGGAGGAGAGGGGCCAGGAGCAGAGTCCAAGGAGGAG